AGTTTGGGGGCTTTTTCATCTTGCTATTTTTTAAGCATTTCACGCCATGCAAGGTGGGAGTGTCACTAGCATGCAAGGGATTACAGAGAGTGAGAGTAAGATAAAAGAGGGGTGTATGAGGAAAGGATAAAGAGAAGAACGGGGATCAAGATCAAGACATCAGAAGATGTCGATAGCTATAATCTTCAAATGTAATGTCTCATTTGAAGATTATAGCTATCAGGGAAGCAAGTAAGAGGAAGGGAGTTCCACTGTCGGGAAGTGCGAGAGAAAAAGCTGTTGGAGTAGAAGAGGCGGTTACATTTAACTGTTTCGACAGTGAAAGCGTGGAAAACATCGAGGGAAGCCACATCACATCTGTGAAAAAGTGACTGCAGTTGAGATGCCGGGTCATGATCTACCACATTGCATATCCATCTTTAGATTTTGTCGAGAACCTCGAGATGAACAGCGAGGGCACCAGACCATATATGGAAACAGTATCCAATGCAAGGTCGAATGGCAGATTTGTAGATTTGAAGGACAGACTCAGACGAGAAAGACCTGGCGTGACACGGTACCAATTTGGTTTAGCGAAAAAAGGAGGTACCGACATATAACCATTTCAAAATTGCATATTATTCTTTAGATTTTATCAAGAATTTTTAAATACATAGCAAAGAAACATACCAAATTTGATGGCTATATTCAATGCTCGAACGAACAGTATACTTATAAAAGTGCAAGACAGTGCAAATTGTTGAGAACGACACATTGAAACAACCTTCCTTGCAGCAGACCTAGCAACAGATTCAAAATAATCTTTCCACTTCATGTCAGCGGAAAACGCTAGCCCGAAAAAGCACTGGGGATCATTCTCCTGGAGGTTAGAGTCTTCCATGTTGATGAAAGGCAAACAAAAGTTATAACAGACGATTAAAAGAGAGCAATTTCGTGTTCGCAGTGTTACAATTAAGAAAGCATTTCTTACCCCAATTAACGACATACTGCGGATCATTTATCGAACAGATCAGACTTACTGTTAAGACAAGAGTAAATAACTGTCATCAGCATAGATACGGAATTGAGAACTTATGATATCAGGTAGGTTATTGATGAAAATTAGGCACAATGTAGATCCAAGAATGGAGTCCTGGGCAAGTCCTGCATTAATGTAAAAAGATCTAGAAGAGTGGCCGTTCGAGATATCTTCATTTCACGATTTTGATAAAAGAGATTGAATCAGATGAAAGATTCTCCCAGAATCTTCTTGTGAAGAAGACCAGCATGTTAAACCCTGTTAAATCCCTTCGTGCTATCCAAAGCAACGACCCGAGCTTCATCATTTTTGTCAAAGCTTGATAGATTATTTCAGCAATAATCGTTAAATCAGCTGTTGACCTAAAGAAGCAAAAGAAGACGTTACGATATGAGATACTTAACCAATTCAGTGTTGATTAGAGTCACTGGTACCAAAATGAAGTAGAAAGCTGATAGATTGATCAAACCGTTCGCTTGAGTTGTTAAAGCCTAGAACGACAGAAGAGAATTTTCCACAAGTAGGAAAGCAAAAAGCAGCAAGGAATTTATTGTAGAGTTTAGAGTTAGAAGCATATTTCTTATGGACTATTGTAGGGATACCATCAAGTCCACATGACAGCAGAATAGGGACTCAGTTCTAAGTGGCAAATATACTACAATTAGTTGTTAGCGTCTCATTCTATCAGCAAACAAAAACGCAGTTTCTTTGAGAACAGGTCTACAGTTATTACGAGCGGACACAAATAGGCGTCTGTTGTGATCGGTACTATCATGTTGGTACAATCGGAAAATGATTCCTGTGGGCTATAGTGGCTGAACAGATAGGTGAACCAAGGAAAAGATAGTGGTTTCACCTGGTATTTCCAAGAAGATACAAAAGTATATGATATAAGAAGAAATCTCAATCGCACAATTCTCAATGGTAATGGACTATCATTCCAATGGGCTTCTGGGAGAAAGCCATTAATTGAATCCCAATCAGTACGCCGGTAACAAAAAGAAGTAGACGACCCAGAATAGATATAAATTTAAACGCTTATTTTATTTTTTGCTTTTCTTGTTAAGAAGTACGACGTATGTTTGGGTCAGGAGGCACGGGGGAGTAATGGATAGTGGCTCAGGGCCGATTTCGAATTCCATTCAGATCCATTACATACACTTATGTGCTAATACCCTTAGGAAAGGTATGAATCCTATGGGTAAATAGTCGTGGCTGGCAATTGGTCTAGGAAAAAGAAAACTCTAAAACCAGTCTGGAGGCAAAACTTGATGGGCAGATAGGGGCTCTGGAGTTTTCCAAACGGACTACCTAGATGAATGTCACTCCGAAATATAACCTGCATCTTTGCATGTCACTCTACTATCAACGAGCGGACTGGGACTCGTTCCGTGACTTCCTCCGCGATGTCCCCTGGGATGTTGTCTTTACACTCCCTGTCCAAGAATGTGCTTCTGAGGTCTCATCCTGGGTTAAAGCTGGAATCGACGCTTTCATCCCCTCAAGGAAATTTAAGGTCAAAATCCTCCTCCCCCTTGGTTCTCCGCTGCTTGCTCATCTGCCATCGCCCATAGGAATCACTTCTTTCACCGATTCCGTAGCGACATGTCTGACTGCAATAGACGTCTCTTTGCCTCTGCCCGTAACGAGTGTAAGCGTGTCCTCAATGAAGCTAAGTCAATATTTGCTGCTCGAATGAAGGAACGTATTGCATCTCACAAATTTGGCTCCAAAGATTACTGGCGGGTCTGCAAGAGTGTCCTGAATAACAATAAAACCCTCCATACCTCCTTTATTCAACCAGTTCGAGGTCTTGACCTACCCTACCGACAAGGCTGAATGCTTTGCTCGGAAATTCTCATTTAATTCAACGCTCGATTCCACCGGTGTTCCCATACCAGACTTCCCTCTTAGAACTGAGGCCTTACTGAGCGGCTTACACATAACCCCGTCATTGGTACTGGGCATTATCTCCACTTTAGACCCCCACAAGGCTAGTGGTGGAGATGGCATACCAGCCATTGTCCAGAAGAAATGCGCGCCTGAGCTAGCACCCGCCCTCTCTAAACTGTATAATTACTGCCTCAAGGAATCATGTTTTCCTGACTGCTGGAAGTCCTCATCCATTGTTCCTGTGTTTAAGAACTCTGGAGACCCCTCTGACCCCATTCTAATTACCGTCCTATTAGTCTCCTACCCCTGTTCGGCAAAGTCTTCGAAGCCCTAATCAATGCCGAAGTGGTTAATCACCTCACATCCCATAATCTGCTCTCAGACAAGCAATATGGTTTCCGCTACGCCAGATCTACAGCTGATGTGCTTACGGCCATCACTGAAACCGTCTACCAAGCCCTTCAAAATAACGGTGAGGCTCGTGCTGTGGCCCTCGACATCTCCAAAGCATTCGATAGGGTTTGGCACGCCGGCCTTCTTCGTAAGCTCCAGGGGTATGGTGTTACTGGTCAACTGTTTGATCTAATACAATCATTCCTGTCAAACCGTGAGAATTGAAGGTCGTTCTCAACGGATTCTCCTCCAGTTCCTATCCCATTAACGCAGGTGTTGCCCCAAGGCTCCATCCTTGGCCCCACTCTTTTCCTCATTTTCATCAACGACCTTCCTGAAGCTATAGATTCCCAGGTTGGCATCTATGCAGACGACACTACAATTTACTCCTGCCTCAAAAAAACAAGTCTAGTGTCGGCGACAAAACTAACCTGGCCGTGCGTCTTGAAATGGACCTCCAATCGGTTGTTAACTGGGGCAAGAATTGGCTGGTCAACTTTAACGCCACTAAAACTAAATTACTCTCCATTAACCACCATAGAGATCCTTCCCTGCCCCCCATTAAAATGTCTGATAGTCAACTTCCTGAGAGCAACTCCTGCGTCTGCTCGGTCTCACGCTGACTGCTGACCTGAGATGGAACAAATAAATTGAGTCAATTGCTTCTTCCACCGCGAGGAAAGTTGGCTCTCTGTGCCGCGCCAGGAATTTTTTCCCCTGAATCGATACTTCAAATATACAAAACAACCATTCGCCCTTGCATGGAGTATTGCTGCCATATATGGGCTGGAGCACCTTCTGTTTACCTCGGAGTTCTTGACAAGATCCAGAGACGGATATGTAATCTTAATTGGCCCTGATCTGGCGTCTTGTTTGCAGTCACTCTCTCACAGACGCGCCGTCGCCTCTCTCTGTCTTTTCTACAAATACTTCCATGGTAACTGCTCTGATGAGCTGCTCTCTCTGGTTCCCAGACTCCATGAATTCAAGCGCCCTACGAGGCTGGCATCCCGCTCTCACCCTTACACTGTAGAAACCTTCAAATGTAGCCGTCTCTTCTACTCCAATAGCTTCATACCTCGCACCTCTCGCCAGTGGAACACCCTCCCCAATTACTGTTTCCCTGAAAGCTATAATCTCCAACTATTCAAATGTAATGTCAATCGACATCTCCAATTACCTTGATCTACCCACTATCCTTCTCTTCCTTTCTCCTATCACTCTTATCTGCTCTCGCTCCAAATCTTCTGCAAACCCCTGCATCCTAGTGGCTTCACGCCTTGCTTGGGGCGCAATGCTTAAAAAAAAAAAAAAAAAAACTTATTTATATATGGGGCCTTTGCACCAGAAAGGAGATGGCGGGCATTGGACAAGAATTGGGACTGGGAATGCACAAACCTTTCTCACTTTTCAGGTCATTCTACGACACTAGATTAATCTTCGAAAGGATTCATCGGTAACGTGTCGATGGAATATTCATGCGTTGGAATACTCACGACGCAAGAATCCATGTATGCCTGCATGTATGGGTCAAGTTCCCTAGTCTAAGTCAAATTTCTTCTCCGAAAGAAGTGAAAGCAATAGAACACTTCAAAATCCCAAACGAATGTTAACATTTCAAACATTAAATATACGGTCAATAAATTAACTCTCTTACCTGACATTATCATGTCTCTGAATATAGATTTTATGAAACATGCCTTGATGTGGAGTTGTGATATCATCTTTCATTTCCATAGCCACATGCTGGGGTAACACACTAAGCAAAAGTTTTTCCTGGGAAGAGAAAAGTTAAGATTCAAGCATCAAAATTCATAAATAAATTATAAATAAGTATACAGAAATATATGGATCACTTTAATATATGGATCACATTTGGAGGCCAAAGTGAACATAAAAAAGAAAATAGATTTGAAAATCTTGAGAAAAAAATTTAAAAAGGATGAAACGGAAAAAGTTAGGTATAAAATATTTTATTGGTTATTTAAACAGTAAAAAACTATTTCGTTCCTATAATTTAAAAAAAAAATATTTTCGTATTTCATTTTTTTATTTAATTCTTTGTATCAAGCTTGCTGTCGATTTTATTTCGTCATTTTATCTTCCTCGTTTAATTCATTTTTGAACATGTTTTCCTCTTTTTTCTAATTCATTCTGATGGCATCAATTTTTCTGATTTTTTCTGGCTGTTTTGGGCACTCATCATTTTCTAACAAATTTGAAAATTATCTGAGAAGTAGAAAGAAATTCGAACCTGAATTAGCATACGCTCGTTTTCCTTAAACGTGCATTTTTATTCACTTAATGCTACGCACAAGAATGTCAATAAAGACCTCAAAATCAGAAGGCATTTTTCAACTGAGATTCTTTCAGAACTTATACTAGTGAGATTTTACGGAAATCAAATATACAAAAATTTTCCGTTGAGAGAAATATAGACACGATGATGTTGAAGAACCTTCTGTTCCGTTTTTTTCTGATATGAATATATTATCAATATATCGAACATACATTTGGTAATATTGTTAAAAATGTTGTTTCCATTTAGAACAATAAAGAAATTAGGTAAATATTACCATGATGGTCATAGAAAAGGTATTTCTGTAGTACAGAATGGAGATATTTTACGTGCAATTGTTAGTTTAATATAGGTACCTCCACAGATTCGCGATACCTAAGGTTTAAAATGAATTAAACAAAAAATAAAAAAATCTTTCTTGATGCTTTTGTTTTAGTTTTAATTTCAAGCTAATAGAATAAATTTGATATTTAAGCATTTAGATTTGAACCAAATATTACTTACTTTGAGCTTAAAATATCGTAAAAATGCATTTTTTAACATGGAGGTAGATGTTGACTGGTTGTCAGCTTCACTGACAGCGAGAAGTTTTATCTGTTTCTTTCAATGGGGTCATATGTGTAAAATTACCTGAGGAATATAACGTGACCACATTTTTATATAATTTTGTAACTGCCCAGTAATCTTACAAATTTAGGAAAATATTCCCGTAATCTAATGTTTTATTGAATTTTAGGTACTTTAGTTTTAAATTTACTACATTTATCTTTTTTCAAGCAAATCGCCCCAAGCAAGGCAGGAGTGCCACTAGTACGCAAGGGGTTACAGATAGTGAGTGTAAGACTAAAGAGGAGTGTTTGGGAAACGGATAAAGAGAAGGACAGGGATCAAGCTCAAGGCACCAGAAGATGTTAACTGACATTATATTTGAATATTTGAAGATTATAGCTATCAGGGAAGCATGTGATAGGAAGTGAGTTCCACTGATGGGAGATGCAAGATAAGAAGTTGTTGGAATAGAAGAGATGGCTACATTTAGCCGTTTCGTCAGTGAAAGGTGGGACTGAGATGCCAACCTAGTAGCACGCTTAAATTCATGCAGTTTGGGAACCAATGAAAGTAGCTCATCGGAGCAGTAGCCATGAAATTACTTGCAGAAAAGACAGAGGGAAGCCACAGCACCTCTGTGAGATAGCAACTGCAGACGGGATTCCAGTTCATGACCAACCACGTTGCATATCAGTCTCTGGATTTTGTCGAGGACCCCGAGATGAATAGAGGGAGCACCAGACCATATATGGCAGCAGTATTTCGTGCAAGGACGAATGGTTGATTTGAAGGATGGCGAGAAAAACCTTCTGGCGCGACACAAAACTTTCCTTACGGTAGATGAAGCTATAAATTCAATGTAGTTGTTCCACTTCAGGTCAGTGGACAGCGTGAGACTAAGCAGACGCTCTTGTGGAGGTGGGCATCAGTCATCGTGATAGGAGGCAGGGAGAATTCTCTATGGTGGTTAACTGAGAGCAGTGTCGCTTTAGCGGTATTAAAGTTTACAAGCCATTTCCTGCTCCAGTCAACCACAGATTGGAGGTGCTTCTCGAGGCCTACGTCCAAGTTAATTTTGTTAATGATGCCGGATCTCACTTATTTTTGATAATGTTGTGTATGGATGTCTGTATGATCAAAAATCGGTACGTTTATACATGCACAAAAATAATTCAAAATTATTTTTAAAATATTGGGGTTTCGAGGAATTGTAGTAAGCTTTTCTATTTATGATTAATAAATAGTTTTTACTTTTCACCTAACGGTTACAAATTAATACAGAAATTTAAAAGATTTAAAACTATAAATTATTATAATTAAAATTTTAAAAAATGAAAAGAATTCTGTAAAAATTAAGTATTCATCGAGAATTTTTTTCTTAAGACCATAATATATCTTATGGATAAAAGCAATTAAAAGCTTAGCTAATTAAATAATGTTTTTGTTTTATTTGCTTTTTTTATTTTACGTTTCAGAGCAGATTTTCGGTAAATGGTGGTTCTGTTTTACAAAGAAAAAAAAAATTGATTCAAATTCTCCAAAGAGTTCTGTGTATAACTAATATAAACATTAAACGGTACAAAAAGGAATTTCTCCAAAACAAGTGGGAGTGGAAATTATTTGATTTGTGCAAATCAATGTGTTTTTCACTGCAAACAGTTAAATTTTTCTATACTAATATTTGGTGCCCCCACTCCCCTGGCGCAAGAAAAACATAATTTTTAACAAAAATTTCGAACGTTCTAAAAAGGATCAAAATATAATTTAATAATAAAAAAAAAACATTTTGTCTTCCCTCTTAATAATAGCAAAGATTTTAACGATAAAACATTATTTTTATTAAGTTTGGGAGATTTTTCTTCATGATACACTCATTTTTCAGCCAATCTGTGGAGATCTAGTTTAATGTTACGACCGAATAATGTGTTTACACATCTTATATTATTATATGTATATGAGAGGCTGTTGAAAATTTAACCAAATGATCAAACATAACATATGTTCTGGCCGGACCGATAACATTTCAGCATTCATTCGTAATTTCTTTGGCAGGGACATTAGTAAAGAAACTTGAAATTTAACGAAACAAGGATGTCATTATTAGGTTTACTTGGTGATTACATTAGATTTGTTGTTGTTGATAAATGATGTAGGGATTTGGAAAATAACGTGAGGTAAAATTGAAATGGAGTTTATATATTTTTACTTGAGGATAAAATCTACAATTTACTGGAGTGGAGATTAATGGATCTAATTTCAGCGTTTTAACTCTCCCAAAAATAGTATGTGCTTCTTAAAATGCACTTAATATTTTTTTTTATTATCACAGTTCTTTAATACAATAACTGAAAAGAAAATGCTCATCTTCTACAGATTGTTGCTTTCATATTTTTATTCGAAGTAACTACGCTTATTAACACATCCTAAGATGTTATCCTGTAATTGGGCATTGATATTTATTGCTCCATAAATCAAAAGATCCCCACCTAAAGAATTACGGGGCGAGTTTACTTCCTTTTCTGACATCAAGCACTTGAGAAGAGAAGCACTTTGAAAGGAGACCCATTATGTCTCGTTCTATATAAAATATTGGGAAAGGCAAAAATAGTTTCAGAACAAACGCCAATTACTAATGAAGTCGTTATAGTTGGTACAAAATGGCCAATGTCGTCATGCTCTGTTAAATAATACTAAACTGTCTTGGTAGAATTTATTTTATTCAATAAAACTGCTACCATTGCCTTTACTTTTTCTGGAAGAGCAAGTCTTCTTAGAGTGTGTTAAGTAAGCAGAATTTCTTATTTAGATAATTTCATAAGCCAGAGACAAAATATTTTTGAAATTGCATTTGAATTTTTTTTTATTAAGTCAAAAAATTGCCTGAAGTGTAAAACGCACATGCATATAAATGTGCACACACACACACACACACACACACACACACACACACACACACACACACACACATGTATATATAGATTTATGTAATATAACTAAAAATCTCATTTTATATATATAAAAAAAATAGGCTCCAGATTTGAATTTAAGACGACTTATGGTTGTTGCCAGGTTGGAAGAATGACAGATCGCTCCAGAAAATGACTAACAATAGATTTTTAAAAATTGGGAAATATATTTATTAACCAATAAATTTCTGTGATTAGTAGATCTAATTTTTAGTTTTCTGGATCCTATATTCTGTATAAATACGATCGCGTTAGTTAGTATTCAGTTTTCAGTTTTTCAGTAAACATTTGGGTTCGTAGTTGTGTACAAACTGAATTCTCACACCTTTCGTATAATTAATTACACAACCTTTGGCATATCTTATGGAGTAACTTTCTTGCAAGAACCAATTAGACACATTCATAAACACGTGACACTCTCCTTACGTAGAGACATTCTGTTTCCTCTATCATACTAACGCAATTTATTCTAGTTGTTTTAGAGAACAAAAACAAAATATTTTGTCAGACTTTACTTCGCGAAGGCATTTGTAATTCGTTACTTTCAACTTGAAAGAAAACAAATACTCAGTAATAAATTTAATTAAAATTTGTAGATCTGTGTTTGAAGATTATTTCTTCTTCGTTTTCCGCACGTTTATTCCCCTACACACACACACACACACACACACACACACACACACACACACACACACACATATATATATAGTATGTCATATATATAGTATATATTTACTAAGAAATATGATTTATCGAAAATTAAATTGAATTTCCATTAGAATGTATTCTACTCGGCAATCAGTGTATTTTTCAACATAAATCTTTTCTTTTCGATGCATTTGTCACAAATCTTTTTCATATAGCTAACATTATTCAATGAAAAATTCAGATCAATATTCAGTTAATAACTGTAGCAGAATACAAACCTATTGATCCATCCTCGCATTTATACTTAATGAAGC